TTCGGGTGGCTGATGGGGTATTGCTGTGTGGTTCGGGTGGCTGATGGGGTATTGCTGTGTGGTTCGGGTGGCTGATGGGGTATTGCTGTGTGGTTCGGGTGGCTGATGGGGTATTGCTGTGTGGTTCGGGTGGTTGATGGGGTGTTGCTAGGCGATTGTCAGCATGTTCTGGGTGATAACTTTTTTTTTAGTGGTTTCTGACTGTCTGAAGTCTGAGAGAGATTGTCTGTCTTTGTCGGTCGTGGGCAGGATTCTGCTGCACTGGGGGTTTTTCCCTCAGAAGAATGAGTCTTTGTCTTTGTACGATGTACAGACTCTGTCTGGCACCTCCACACACACACACACACACACACACACGGCTGTGAGAAGGTTAGCCGGTTGATTTGCTGGAGACTGAGGGAAATCATGATCGTCGGAGCTCGCTGAGGCGCATTCTGGGAGCCGCGTGAACAAGGCCGCCTCTCATACGGTAAACAGCCTCTGCATCAAAACCAACACAGCCGGTTGCCGTGGTTACCATCTGCCGGTGTCGCCGTGGCATCCAGACGGTCGCATTCCTTAAGAAAGCCCAGTGTAATTACAGAGTGATTTCTGAGCAGAGAGACGTGCGTTCAGCCACTCGAGCAGATGTGCAGAAGCTCATGTGAGAGCCGATCATTTAGAGACACGTTTGCAGTCAGATCAGGAGCTCAGGACGGCTTCTTATTTTTACTTGTACTGCCGCTATTTTTGTTACAACACTTTACTAGTAAAAAGAGAACGGTTTGATTTAATAAATTGTCTTTGGTAGTTGACAGCAGGACACACACGTGGTTATCTGACAACAGATTCACATGCATGTGATTAGTGGCTTAAAAATAGTTATTTCTTTCCAATTATTAATTATTTATCATTTTTAAAAGGATTATTTATTTATTTTTATTTTTTAAATAAGTCATTCATTATTTTAATTATTTTTTGTTTTAAAAATAATTTTTTATTTGCATTTATTTTTTAGTAGTCAATGAAAAATTAACTGTGTTTATAATTAACATTTCTCTAAACTCATGCAGCGTCTTGTACTATTTATTTTCACTGAGCTTGTTGAGTTTCTCAGCTTGTGAGTGATGATCTTCTGTGTAGGTGGGACGTTCAGCAGGTTTGGGATCAGTGCTCTCGTCTGTAAGGGCGTCAGAGGATGTTTGAGCTCTTCTGGGCAGATCTGAGATCAGGTTTGTGTTTCAGCAGCAATAGAGAAGAGTCCAGCAGCTCTGGATGAATAACGCTGGAGACGGAGATGAACTTTACATGCCCTGATACTGCAACACAGGAAGTGCAGAGAGCAAGACTCACAGACGTGCTGATTTTACTGAATCATTTCTGTGTGGCTGATAAAGGGACGGAAATCTCGGTATGAACGCTTGTCTTTGCATTGTGCGTCTGATTTATGAGCCTTTCCTGTGAGCGCATTTTCATTACACTAGTTGTGCTTAACAACCCCACATCACATAAACGCTTCAGATCTCTGAATAAACTCATACGCTCAAAATCTGATTTCATTCTCCATTTACATTTATGCACATGAGACTAATGTCAGTTTTTACTCTTGTTGTTGTCTGCGCGTGTTTGGCAGACATTTTTATGCATTTAATCCGTTCATGCCCATGATGACTTTGGCTCTTCTGTTTGAGCTTTCTTATTGTGATGAATTGCTTTTGTTTCTCATTTGTAAGTTGCTTGAATGAAGAAATGTCAGTGTGCAGGAACGAACTTTCATGCTGATGTGAGTTGGTCTAACTTATCAAGTAGTTCTACCAGGAGCTCTGATGATGCTGCTTAGTGAAATATGAGTTGTGCCTGTAATGGTTTATGAACGACTCCAGAGTGAAGCATATTCTTGAAAAGCTTTGAAGTGAACACTAAAAACTCTCCTGTGTGTCGCCAGATTCTGACTCTTGCCGTTTTGTAGAAGCGTGCCGATTTCATTTGTGTCACTTCCTGTAGGGGGACGTCACTAGAGAAACCAGCCTTACCGCCACAAAGGAGTGTGTGTGTGTGTGTGTGTGTGAGTGTGTGTGAGAGTGAGTGAGTGAGAGTGAGTGAGTGAGAGTGAGTGAGTGAGAGTGAGTGAGTGAGAGTGAGTGAGTGAGAGTGAGTGAGTGAGAGTGAGTGAGTGAGAGTGAGTGAGTGAGAGTGAGTGAGTGAGAGTGAGTGAGTGAGAGTGAGTGAGTGAGAGTGAGTGAGTGAGAGTGAGTGAGTGAGAGTGAGTGAGTGAGAGTGAGTGAGTGAGAGTGAGTGAGTGAGAGTGAGTGAGTGAGAGTGAGTGAGTGAGAGTGAGTGAGTGAGAGTGAGTGAGTGAGAGTGAGTGAGTGAGAGTGAGTGAGTGAGAGTGAGTGAGTGAGAGTGAGTGAGTGAGAGTGAGTGAGTGAGAGTGAGTGAGTGAGAGTGAGTGAGTGAGAGTGAGTGAGTGAGAGTGAGTGAGTGAGAGTGAGTGAGTGAGAGTGAGTGAGTGAGAGTGAGTGAGTGAGAGTGAGTGAGTGAGAGTGAGTGAGTGAGAGTGAGTGAGTGAGAGTGAGTGAGTGAGAGTGAGTGAGTGAGAGTGAGTGAGTGAGAGTGAGTGAGTGAGAGTGAGTGAGTGAGAGTGAGTGAGTGAGAGTGAGTGAGTGAGAGTGAGTGAGTGAGAGTGAGTGAGTGAGAGTGAGTGAGTGAGAGTGAGTGAGTGAGAGTGAGTGAGTGAGAGTGAGTGAGTGAGAGTGAGTGAGTGAGAGTGAGTGAGTGAGAGTGAGTGAGTGAGAGTGAGTGAGTGAGAGTGAGTGAGTGAGAGTGAGTGAGTGAGAGTGAGTGAGTGAGAGTGAGTGAGTGAGAGTGAGTGAGTGAGAGTGAGTGAGTGAGAGTGAGTGAGTGAGAGTGAGTGAGTGAGAGTGAGTGAGTGAGAGTGAGTGAGTGAGAGTGAGTGAGTGAGAGTGAGTGAGTGAGAGTGAGTGAGTGAGAGTGAGTGAGTGAGAGTGAGTGAGTGAGAGTGAGTGAGTGAGAGTGAGTGAGTGAGAGTGAGTGAGTGAGAGTGAGTGAGTGAGAGTGAGTGAGTGAGAGTGAGTGAGTGAGAGTGAGTGAGTGAGAGTGAGTGAGTGAGAGTGAGTGAGTGAGAGTGAGTGAGTGAGAGTGAGTGAGTGAGAGTGAGTGAGTGAGAGTGAGTGAGTGAGAGTGAGTGAGTGAGAGTGAGTGAGTGAGAGTGAGTGAGTGAGAGTGAGTGAGTGAGAGTGAGTGAGTGAGAGTGAGTGAGTGAGAGTGAGTGAGTGAGAGTGAGTGAGTGAGAGTGAGTGAGTGAGAGTGAGTGAGTGAGAGTGAGTGAGTGAGAGTGAGTGAGTGAGAGTGAGTGAGTGAGAGTGAGTGAGTGAGAGTGAGTGAGTGAGAGTGAGTGAGTGAGAGTGAGTGAGTGAGAGTGAGTGAGTGAGAGTGAGTGAGTGAGAGTGAGTGAGTGAGGAGTGAGTGAGTGTGTGTGAGAGTGAGTGAGTGAGTGAGTGAGTGTGGTCACTGGTGGAGAGACGGACTGATTCTTCTAGTTGGATTGAAGGCTGAGCGGCAGTTTCACTTCTTCATGTTCTGCAATTTCGTTCCACATTTTCTTCATCATCCAGAACATAGATGTGTGTGTGTGTCTAAATATTTATCACAGCAGAAACTGGCCAGTTTAAGGCCTGCTGATTCTGTGTGAGAGTGTGTGTGAGAGAGAGAGAGTAAGTAAGTGTGTGTGTGTGTGTTTGTCCAGGCACAAAGCTCTCTCTCTTCTGTAGCTTTTTGCAACAGCTTTGACGTCACACACACACACACACACACACAGTCTTCCTGCTGAGAGAGAGAGATACTTTTTCATCTCTTGTTCTTTGTGTGTATTTAGACTTTTTGATATATAATCAACTTTTCATATAAAGATCATAAACTATATGGACAAAAGCATTGGGACACTGACTGAATTCAGGTGTTTCAGTCAGATCCATTGACACAGCTGTATAAAATCAAGCACTATCCATGCAGTCAGCATTTACAAACATCTGTGAAAAAAATCTGTTGTTCTGAAGAGCTCAGTGAACTCATGCGTGGTGCTGTGATAAGATGCCGCCTTTGCAATGAGTCAGTTTGTGTAATTTCGTCCCTGCTAGATATTGCACGCTCAACTGTAAGTGGTATTGTTGGAGAGTGGAAGTGTTTAGGAACAGCAGAAACTCCACCAAGAAGCAGACATCGTAGCTTGACGTTTGAGTTTGGGGGGGCCAAACCAAACTGGTGGATTTGGTCAGACGTACTTTTAAACACATTTTAGTTTAGCTATAGTAAATCTACATATTCACATTCACACAGATCAGTGGCAAGTGCATGAGGTTGTCATGGTAACCACATACATCGCCCACGAATTACAGCTGCGCTTCTATTTTCATTTATTAATTTACTTACAATAACAATTTAAAATGTATTAACTTTCACGTATTAACTTTTACATGCGTTATTAACTACATTATATGCATTTTTACTTCATAGAAAAAACTTTATAAATAAATATTTAGTCAAATTCTTTAATCGCTATGGGGGAGCCAGGCCCCCCCACAAGCTACGCCCATGCTTGCTAGGCTAACCGAGACTTGACATCACCAAACTGAGTTTAGCAGCTTAAAATGATCTAATCGCAAGCAGAGTAGCAAAATTGGGTTAAAGGGTTAGAATAGAAATTGTGCTTCAGTATTTTTGCGTTAATTGCATTAAATTATTTTAATGCGTTAAGGATTGTAAAATGAATCGCATGCATTAACGCGTTAACGATGGCAGCCCTAATATAAATATATATCTCTGTGTGTGCGTGTGTATATATATCTATATATATCTATATATATATCTCTGTGTGTGTCTGCTGCTGCTGTGGTTTGTGTTTGTACGATGGCACATTGTTTTCAGAGGGAAAACATTATAGACAGTATTTCTGATGTCTGTCTCTCTCTCTCTGTGTGTGTGTGTGTGTGTGTGTGTGTCAGTTCTGCTGGCGGAGCCTGTGGAGAAGGACAGCATTGAGGGCAAAACCCTGAAGATCACAGATTTCGGTCTGGCGCGCGAGTGGCACAAGACGACGAAGATGAGCACGGCGGGAACCTACGCCTGGATGGCACCGGAGGTCATCAAATCATCCACCTTCTCCAAGGGCAGCGACATCTGGAGGTGAGATCAGTGCTCACTTCATTAACAGAAGCTATGGCCAAAAATACTCGACCTTTTTTCCATGATGAAGACGAGACGACACTGACATCATTAAACATAATGCAACTTAAGGCAATGTCATTGATGAAAAAACATGAGACTAAAATGTTTTAGTTTTAAAATATGCTCTGCATTCAAAATTTCTCTATATTTTCTACAGCAAAAAAGGAGGAAATGATATAGACCTTCATGAGTTTTCATACGGTTGCCAGATTTCAAGAGTTTAAATCCCCCAATCAGAGCTTTTCTCTTAAAACGACCCAACGTTTAATTTTTCTTCCCAACCTGGCAACCATTAACACACTCTCTCTTACGCTTTGGACAAAGTGCTGATGATCTTATTATTTTCAGCTCTGCGTTTAATTTTTCTCTACAACCTGGCAACCATTTGCACGCGCTTTCTCTTGCACTGCAGAAATACACAGAAAATGCTGAATGATGAAGTTTTCCGAGGTTGAAAGCGCTCCGTAACTAACTGTACATGCTGTCATTGAGGCTTTATTCTCGATGTTGGTGAGTCGTGGTTATTGCAGTTAATAGACTTCAGGAATTACCGGTTAACCCACTACTAGAGATCATATGATTAACTCACTGCCGCTGTTACATAATTACCTAATAATGGCTGAAAGCAGGAGCTAAACATGAAGCTCTGATGAAAAGGGAAATTCAGTCCTAGAGTGTCAAGCTGCATGAAAGAGCCTGAACAAATCATATTTAACTCAAGCACTGGTAGTCATAACGAGTTATCATTTCATCCCATACTTCAACATGACTTTAAGAAGTCGTTAGCTGAAACTAAAAATAAAAGCCATTTCGTTTAGGCAAAATGTATATAAGGGTACAATTTGATGTTGCAAAATTTCTGTAAGCGAAAGTTTTGAATTCACAACGCAGCTCAATGCACTGATAAATAATGTATTACATGCACTGATGAAAGAGTCATAAAATCACTTTTAAATAGTGTGATTTTATGTCAGAAAACTCAGGAAACGGCTGCAAAATACTGTACTAATTTGTATACCATGCATTAAATGCACCGTATGAACTTTTGTAGCGGTTATAATTAATCAGACATGAAAAGCCTTTTTTGAGCTTTTAAATGCTGTAATATTCATATCAAAGCATATTGTAAATATAATGTAAATTTAATACCACTTAATTAAGAAAAATTGTTATATCGATGAGACAATAAAATCACACCGTTTGAACACACCTGAACATCATCAGCTTTTATCATAGCATATTTTTAATATTCTGTAATCATGCATTGTAAGTTTGAGGTTTTGTGAGCTGCGATAAATATTTGAGTGTTTAATGAGCTGATGTTGATCGTTTTCTCCGGTTTGATGTTCAGATGAGCTCACTCTGTGTCAGCGCTGCAAGCATATTCAAATATCTGAATATGAATTGAAACAGTAGTTTGATCCACCGCCGGCAATGTCTGGAGGTCTGAAGTTACAGGTGCTTTTGTTCTGAAGCAGCTGATTTGTCTGGGACACGGCGCTCAGATTAACGGCTTTAGATTGATCACGCACGGCTTCAGCGCTTCACGCTCTCCTCTGCAGGGAACATCAGAGAGCCTCCTGAAGCCTGGCAGCGGTTGGTGTGTGTGCATGCTGTAATTAGACGCTATATAAAGCGGCTGTGGGCCGTCTCTCTGTCTGTCTGTAGTTATGGTGTGTTATTATGGGAGCTGCTGACCGGAGAGGCTCCTTACAGAGGGATCGATGGTCTGGCTGTGGCTTACGGAGTCGCTGTGAACAAACTGACCCTTCCCATCCCCTCCACCTGCCCCGAGCCCTTCACCCAGCTCATGTCCGGTGGGTTTATTCATACATTACCTCTAGTAGCCAAAGGAAAAAACTAAATATAAATAATAATACATTTTTCAAAGCATGAGCCTTTTAGGTGCACAATCTTTAACTCAAATTAAAACAGAAAATTAAAATTAAAACCATAAAAAAAGATTCTGTTACTTGAAATAAAATCAATTTTAACTTAAAATGAAATATACAGTGGGTACGGAAAGTATTCAGACCCCCTTCAATTTTTCACTCTTTGTTATATTGCAGCCATTTGCTAAAATCATTTAAGTTAATTTTTTTTCCTCATTAATGTACACACAGCACCCCACATTGACAGAAAAACACAGAATCGTTGACATTTTTGCAGATTTATTAAAAAAGAAAAACTGAAATATCACATGGTCCTAAGTATTCAGACCCTTTGCTGTGACACTC